ATCAGTTTTACAACCAAAAATTTAAAAAATGCAAACCTATACGGAGTAAAATTTAACAGTCTGACTTGAGAAAACATCAGGCCACAGATAAGATCCTAGCCTCAGTTTCATTACTAGCCAGTTTTATGACAGGCAAATCATTTACCCTTTCTAATTAGCTCTATCTTAATGGTAAAACAAAGGCACAGATCAAATTTCTGATTCCAGACAAGATTGAGTAAAAGCATTTCCATTTTACTCCTTCTACTAATCATGACCCTAATTAGCACAGGCAAAAATAACTCCAAGAAAGTCCTGTTTTCTCTAGCTGAAGTGCCAGAAAAAGCCTGGCATAATAGGACAGAAACTTTTTAACCTTTCTACTTCCCTGTTCTGGAGGCAACACCATGAAAAAAGATGATTCTCCCCCACCCTAATGGGGGCTGCATCAGTGGAAAACATGGGTGGGAACTTGTCTTTACCCTACCTTTGTAGCAACAAGGTGATGCCCCTTGCCTGCCCAGTCTGTGAGCTGAACTGTAACTATCACCCCCAAACTGGAGGAGTTAAGAGGGGGAATTCTAATTTCTACCATTCTCCTACAGAAATAAGGAGATGCTTCTTCCCCATGGAGCAGATATGGATAGATCTCTGACTTCCATCCTCCCTGCAGTAAGGAAGAGGCTACCGTACCCAGGGCTGGTGGGAGTTGTCTTTTGTCCCCATTCTCATTCTCCCCAGCCTGCACTGATGAGAATGCAGGATGGAGTCCTCCGTGGCTGGATAACACATAAGTGGGGAAGACTAGAAGTGCTACAGAGGCTTTATAACTTAAACTGACATTTGAACCACTATCCACAAAAGTAAGCTTCTGACCACAAGCAGGTTGACTCTCTGCCAAAATGGAAGAATTTATATGTCCCAAGTCATATAAAACACAAAATGTCCAGGATATATTCCAGAATTACTCACCTTACCAGGAGCCAAGAAAATCTCAGTTTGAATGAGTTGATACCAATACTGAGATGACACAGATTTGGGATTATAGGAATAAGATTTTAAATCAGCTATAATATGTTTCAATAAACAATTACAAATATTCTCAAAAAATTTGAAAATAGTTGGGGGCACCTTGGTGGCTCAGTTGGTTAAGCATCTGACTCTTGATTTCTGCTCAGGTCATGATCTCAGGGTCATGAGATTGAGCCCTGCAGTAAGTTCCACGCTCACCGCAGAGTCCGCTTAGGATTCTCTCTCTCTCTCTCCCCCCGCTCTCTGCCCCCTCTGCTTCTCCCCACTCTCAAATAAATAAAATAAATAAATAAAATAAATCTTTAAAAAATTAAAAAAATAGAAAATCTTACCAAAGAAATAAAAATATATATAAGAACCAAAGGGAAAAATTAAAAATATAATAACCCAAAGAAAAAACTTAATGGAGCAACTCAACAGCAGAACAGAAATGACAAAGGAACCAATGAAACAAGACAGATCGATAGACTGTATCCAATCTGAACAACACAGAGAAAATAGATTGAAAAAAACAAAACTGAGCCTCAGGGATCTCTATTAGAATAACAAAAGATCTAACATTTGCACCATCACTGTCCAAGAGTCCCAGAAAGAGAGGAAAAAGGATGTGGAATTGAAAAAATATTTGAAGAAATAACGGCTGAAAACTTCTCAAATTTGGTAAGAGATCAAACTACAGATCTAATAACCCAATAAGCTCAAAGAAATCAACACCAAGACATACCATAAACAAATCTTTGAAAACTAAAAGTAAAAAAACCTGGGGCACCTGGGTGGCTCAGTCAGTTAAGCGTCCGACTCTTGGTTTCAGCCCAGGTCATGATTTCTTGGTCATGATATCAAGCCCCAGGTCGGACTCTGCACTCAGCACGTTTCTGCTTCAGATTCTCTCTCTCTCAAATAACTAAATAAAATCTAAAAAAAAAAAAAAAAAAAAATCAAAAAAGTCTTGACTTCAGGCAGAGAAAAACAACTTATTACTTATGGGGAGCAACAATTCAAATCACAGCAAATTTCTCATTTGAAACTACAGAGGCCAGAAAGAAGTGGTACATCATTTTAAAATGTTGAATGAAAGAAACTGTCAATCTAGAACTCTATATTAAGTGAAAATATACTTCAGAAATGAAGGCAAAATAAAGACATTCTTAGGTAAAGGAAAGTTAAGAAAAGTTTTTGCCAGCAGACCAGCTCTAAAAGAAGGGCTAAAGAAATTTCCTCAAGTAGAAAGGAAGTGATATTGGTAGAAAATTTGGAACTTTGGGCATGAAGGAAGAGCAACATAAAGGGTAAATGAATAAATATAATAGATTATTTTCCTCTTGAATTAAAAAAAGTGTTTAACAGTTAAAAGCAAGTTTATAATATTGTCTGATGTGGTTCTCAATATATGTAGACATAATATTTAAGATAATTAATTGTAAAGCAGGGAGGAGAGGATAAAAGTACGTAATGGTTGTAAAGTATCTATATTGTACTTGACATGGTAAAATGGTGATACTAGTAGATTGCGTTAAGCTATGTGTGCCTCTTATAATCCTTAGGCAGACACTTAAACACAATGCAGAGATATACTAAAAAACACTATAAATAAATTAAAATGGAATTCTTAAAAAAATGTTCAAGTGACCCACAGGAAGACAGAAAAGGAGAAATAGGGGAATAAAAAACAGAGGAGAAAAATAGAAAATAAATAATAAAATGGCAGACTTAAGTATTAACTTATTGATAATTACATTAAATATAATGATCTAAATCCACCAATTAAAAGACAGAGATTGGGATGCCAGTGTGGCTCAGTCGGTTAAGCATCTGCCTTCAGCTCGGGTCATGATCCTGGGGTCTGGGGATCGAGTCCCGCATTGAGACTTGCTCAGTGGGGAGCGTGCCTCTTCCTCCACCTACTGCTCTCCTTACTTGTTCTCTCTCTCCCTCTTTCAAATAAATAAATAAAATCTTAAATAAAAGAGATTGGCAGAATTAAAAAAAAAATGATCCTGGGGCGCCTGGGTGGCTCAGTTGGTTGAGCAACTGCCTTCGGCTCGGGTCATGATCCTGGAGTCCCGGGATTGAGTCCCACATTGGGCTCCCTGCTCAGCAGGGAGTCTGCTTCTCCCTTTGACCCTCTTCCCTCTCGTGCTCTCTATCTCTCATTCTCTCTCTCAAATAAATAAATAAAATCTTTAAAAAAATAAATAAAAAATAAAAATAAAAATACATGATCCACCTATATGCTGTCTGCAAGAATTTCGTTTCAAATATAATGATAAAAATAGGTTAAAAGTGAAAGAATGAAGTATATACCATGCAGATAATCATCAAAAAAGAGCTGGTGTGGCTGTATCACATCAGCTAAAGTTCAGGCAATGAAAATCACCAGGGATAAGGAGAGACATTATGTAGTAACAAAAGAGTCAATTCATCAAGATGATATAATAATTTTAATGTGTATCTTCCAAATAACAGAGATGACAAATACATAAAGGAAAAACTACCAGAACTGAATTGAGAAATAGACAAACCTGCAATTATAGTTGGAGACTTCAACATGCCTCTCCTAGTGATTGACAGAATCAATAGATAAGAGGTCAGATATAGAAGGGTATAGAAGAACTAAACAGCAGGATCATCCAGTGAGATCTAATTGATATATATAGAACACTCAGCCCAAAAATAGTGGAACACATACATTTTTTCAAGTATGCATGGAACTGTATCCTGGGTCATAAAACAAACCTTAACAAATTTCAAAGACCTGAAATTATACAGAATATGTCGTTTCACGACAGCGACATCAAACTGGAAATCATTAATAGAAGGAACGCAGGAAAATTTCCGAATACTTGGAAATTAAACAACATATTTCTTTCTTTTTTTTTAAAGATTTTATTTTTAAGTAATCTCTACACCCAACCTGGGGCTCGAACTCACAACCCCAACATCAAGAGTCGCACACTCCCCCAACAGAGCCAGCCAGGAGCCCCTAAACAACATATTTCTTAAACAAGGGTATAGGTTTAGGAGCCTAGCTTTAAAATTCTGTGACTAATCCTGTCATTTAGTGTTACCAACTGGGGGTTTCTCCAAAAAAGTGATAAAACCTTCTCCATCTGTACTTGAGTATAGAAGCATGTTTTTAAAGTGCTCTAGGTACCTCTAGGAAAAGGGGAACTAATATTTGTTGTGCACCTACTAAAATGTTTGACCATTGATGGTTTTATTTAACCTTCACAGACACCTACCACAGTGTTGTCACTCAGCTAGGTAGTGACAGGTAGTAGAGGTACCTAGCTGAGTGACAGGAAACCAGCTGAGGATTTTTAAGAGAGGGTTGGATGTTGGAGGGAATTTTAAGAAAATCAGAGGGGCCAGAGTTGGGAAACCCTGGTGGGACATGATTATAAAAAGATGGAAAGAGGCTGAGTTAAGAAGAATTCCAAGTGGATCCCTAACTCTGGAAGGCAGTGGGGAAGCACTAAGAAAATTTAAGAAGAGGAACTTTTAAAACAAATTACTTTAGTGAGAGCAGATAGCAGGGAGAGGAGACTGAAAGGGAGGGGCTCAACTACTGAAAAGTGGTGAGGATTTGGGTAGTACTGTTAACCATTTTACACTCAGGAAATACAGCCGAGAAGGTAAGTACAGCTTCCCAACAACCCCCCCCCGACAAAAATATTAAAGAGGACAAAGTGATCATATTATCAATAGGATGTTCCAATAACATTTAACAAGAGACACAATTAAATGGGTTAAAGAATGTAACATGTCTGGCACCCTTAAATAGTAAACAGTGAATAATATTTCACTTCTAGAAAGGGCAGGTGTAATCATGCCAGTTGACAGTGAGGAAACCGAGGCTCAATCCAGGGTTTATCAAGGAACCTGCGTTAGCTGCACAGCCACCCAGCCTCCCGCCCTCGATCCCCGGGATGGCCCCTGTCCTGCAGGTCAGGGTCAGGGCACAGCCCTGCACCTTCGCCCGCTCCTACCCGCTGAATCGTCAGGTGCGACTGCTCAAAGTCCAGATGGAAGAAGTTGCCCACGAAGGGCAGGGGTAGGGGACCTGGCGGGTAGTTCTTTGGGCGCCGTCTTTTGAGGAAATCAGCAAAGAACAGAAAGGCGACGGCACCCAGCAGGAGGTTGCGGAAATGGAGCACTGCCCAGACGGCGGCCGCCAGGGAGCCCACCGCCGCAAGCATGGCTCTTCGGTCCTCTTCCTCGGCTGAGCTCTGAGCGGGCGACGTCCCTGCCTGTCCCTGCCGGTCCCTGCAGCTGAGCTCGCAGGACCGCCCACCTGCCCCGCCCAACTCGCTCCGCCCCTGTAGCCCCCACTCCGCCCCGCCCCTGCCGCCCTCCCCACTGCACCCCGGGTGGGAACTCTGTCCCAGCTGTTCGCCCCGCCCGCCTCCTGCAGCGCCGAGTGAGCCTCCCTTTTCCCTCCTTCCTTCCCTGGACCCCAGACCCCACGCCAGCCAGGCTGCCCTCCAGAAGCCTGGCCCTGAGTTCTTGGGAGGACCCGTACCGGTCTTGGAAAAGGCCAGGCTAGAAGCGTTGTTCTTTTCTGTTTAGAAAGCTTGTCTCTGAGACCACTGGGGCTCTTGGGTTTATGGTTTCGGTGCACCTCCGAGAGCACCACAAGCTTTGGAGCTCTGTGTTTTTCAATCACCCTCTCATCCAACAGTTGGAATCTTGCCAGGTAAACAGTGACGCTAACAGCAGCGCCAGGTGTTTCTCAGGCCCTTACCTAAACTCGCCTCTGTGCATGAATCATTTCATTCTGACAAAATTATGCAGGAAATGCTCTTCTTAGCTCCATCTCGCAGTTGAGGAAACTGAGACCTAGAGGTTAAGTGGCAAGTAGGTGGTGAATAAATAAATCCACCAGTCTGCAACACATCTGAACAAGATTCTGTGTTTGTAACTTTTTGAAGATTGAAAAGCATTATTTACATCAAGGGGCGCTTGGGTGGCTCAGTCGGTTAAACCACTGACTCTTGATTTCCCCTCAGGTCCTGATCTCAGGGCTGGGTGTGGAGCCTGCTTAAGATTCCCTCCCTCCCTCTTCCTCTGCCCCTGCCCTCTAAAATAATAATAATAATAATGTAAAAAAAATTAATTAAAAAAAAAAGCATTACATCAAAGCCCCTAGCACTGAGCCTAGTCTTTAGCAGGTGCTTAATTAACATTGAAAGAAGATGTCTTAGTCCTTCTCCTTTTTGGTTTGCTGTGTGAGATTCCTCCTTTGAAGCCCCAAGACAGTGTTAGGGCCCCAGGTTCCAGCCTTCCATGCCATCCTGTGTCTCCCCATTTGTGAGATACTCAAATCATGAAGCATAGTTTTGAAGTAGTATAGCACACACTTATGTGCTTAACATACAGATACACAGTCTACATAAAATAAAAATAAACAGAACAGAATTGAAGTCTCTTTTCTGTCTTTCCAAAATCAGGACCTCTTCTCACAAACTGTATAAATGAAGTGTGTTGGACTTTACCTGAAAGCCACAAAAATTGATGTTTAGTTATATTTATAATAAGCTGATTTAAACTTCTATAAAGAAGAAAAATGAAGACCACTTATTCAAAAACAACAATGAAGCCTCACCTTCTAATTTGCTTCTCATTAGTTCCTTCCAAAGCAAAGTTTAAATGCTATGATTGACATTGTTTTCCCATCATAAATACTTCCAGGGTATTGTGTAGCATGTGGCAAGTATAAAGGAAAAGGAAGACTTTTTTTTTACTTTAAGAACTTATTACTATTAATAAACCTTCCCTAGCTGAATATTGTTCTCTTCTTGTTCCATTAAGTCAAAACACAAATCAGTACAGGTATTTGGTTCCTACTATTTTAAAATATAACATGACTGGGCGCCTGGGTGGCTCAGTCACTGGGCGTCTGCCTTCGGCTCAGGTCATTATCCCAGTGTCCTGGGATCGAGCCCTGCGTTGGGCTCCCTGCTCAGCAGGGAGTCTGCTTCTCCCTCTGCCTGCAGCTCCCCCTGCTTGTGCTCTCTTTCTCAAATAAATAAATAAAACCTTTAAAAAAAATAAAGTGAAATTATTATTCCCTTTTTACAGATGGTCCAGTAAGTTTAGAGCAGTGAAGTGTTTTGCCAGAGCTTACAAAGGCAGAATAAGTGACATAGTTGAAATAAGAACCCTAGTCTTTATTCATAAGACCTGTACTCATTATTTTCGAATATAACCTATGAGAAAATAGACTATAGTAACTATGGAACAGGGACTAATGAGTTGTTTTTCACTGGAGTCATTCAAAGAGAAATTAGAATAGGATTGCTGGAGAGGAAATATAAATGTCAGGTGGAATGCTGGATTAAAAAGGGCTTTCAGACTCTCCAACTCTGAGATTCTATGATTTTATGGGTCCTCCAAGGAAAACACAGGGTTAGGAATATAGATACATACTATTTAAAAAATTGTTCTTATTTTCTGTTCTTTGCAGGTGATGGGTAGTTTCCATTTCATAAAAGATAAAACCATCCAGGATTACATGATATTCTAATTTACACACAACTTTCTAATGCATTGAAATTCAATTTTTTAATTCCAGAAAAACTGATCATTTTTCTACAGTAAGGCACAGTTGAAATGCCTCTCTTATTTATGTAAATGTGTGGTGAGTAGACCCTTTTCCCCTAGGATTATAGTGTAAAAAGCGTTTAAACTACTTTTTGAAGTCTATCATACACACAGAAAAGTTCATCAATGAATTTGCATAAAGTTAACACATCCAGTATAATCAACACATAAAACAGGAAATAAAATATTACCAGCAATCTGTCCTCTGCCACTTTCCAGACATTATCCCTTATCCAGGGGTAAATATTGCCCTGGTTTATAAAACTCTGGATTGTCTAATGCGTTTTGAACCAAGCTGCACTCTTCCTGGCCTTACTCAGGAATCAGAATTCCAAGAAAGATTTAGATAGCTGTTTTTGGATCTAGTTTTGTTCTTACTTTTGATCATCTTACTAACTATATCATCTTCAGTGTCTGCCTCCTTGTCACTTTTCACATAATTCCTTCCGACTCTGGATGTTCAGCTTGGCTCCTTCACTCCTCACTGGCAGGGCCTGAGAATATTAAACACCTTCACACACACACACACACACACACACACACACAAAACAACCGCAACAACAACATGGTGACTCCAATCTTGTGATTGGAGTAAAGGAGCACAGCATACCCTTGGCATTTAACTCTCCTTATAGTTGAGATGAGATGAGAATTTTAAGCCTCCAGTTTCCTATATGCAAAGCACCTTACTAGGACGTTTTACATTATTGTTTCATTGAATCCTTCTAACAGACTTGAGATGTAGGTGCTATTGTCCTAACTTTTCAGATTGGGAAACTGAAGTTTATCGATGTGAAATTGCTTGTTCAAGTTCAAAATGCCAGTGAGTAGCAAAGCAAAAAATCAAACCCAGCTCTGCTTGAGAGCAGAATGAGTGCTGTTTTCCTGAACTGTAAGTCAGGATGGAGTTCCTCTTCCCTGTGTCACCTGTAAACACTCTTTCTTAGCTTCCAAAGCCTCCAAACTTCTTGCCAGCCTCCTTCCTCTCCAACCTAACCCATCTGATTTAGTGTCCAGTTATCTGCAAAAATGCACTTTGGCTCCAGGCAAGCCTGACTTCACACTTTCCTTGACAAACCGTATTTATTTTCACCTTTGGACACACTCACTCCTTACCTCCTGCCTGGAGTGCCCTACCTACTTCTTCTAAACATCCTGTTCATCTTTCAAGGCTCAATTTAAGTCCTACTTGCTCTGTGACTTTCTATATTTTTGTATCATGCTCTATCCTACCATTTACTTTTGTATTTTTTTGCCAATTTCTCTGCCTGGAATATATACTGAAATTCTGCCCTAACATCAAGGGCCAGGCCAAAGAGCAATTGTTTCAGGACATGGGATTAAATCTTCCCTCAGAGATTTTTGGGGTAGGTCATCAAGAAGATGTGAGTGTCGGTTGACCCTGGAGCTGGATCCAGGCAATTGGAGATTCTATGTCTCCTCCCCTGTCCTTGGAATATACACCCTGATTGCCTTCCCTGTTCTCAGAAGCTGCCCCAAGAAGACAACCTTAAAAGAAATGTGGTGCTGAGACTCTCTGGATGGTATACATGACTGAAACTAGTTAAGGCCTCTATATATACTTTTAAGATTTGGCAGGTGGGTGTGGAAACCTAATCATCCTGTAGCTACCAAAGGCAATTCTGTTTTAGATACAACAGCAAAAGTACAATCCATGAAAGAAAACTAAGTTGTACTTCATTAAAACTTAAAAACAGCACTGTGATAGATATTCTTAAGAGAATGGAAAGGCAAGCCACAGACTTGGCACAAAACATACCCAAATGTATATCCAAATATATCCAAATGTATCCAAAATATACAAAGAATTCATAAAACTTAACAATACAACCCAATTACAAAATGGGCAAAAGATCTGAATAGACCCGTCACCAAAGAAGATACACAGATAGCAAATAAGCTTATGAAAAGATCCTTAACATTATATGTCACTAGGGAATTGCACATTTTTTTCTTAATGAGTTGGTTTTATTATTTTTTTTATTATGTTCAGTTAGCCACTGTATAGTACATGAGGGAATTGCACATTTAAACAATAAGATATCAGGGCACCTGAGTGGTTCAGTCAGTTAAGCATCCAACTCTTGGTTTCGGCTCAGGTGGTGATCTCAGGGTTGTGGGATCAAGCCCTGCAGAGTCGGCTTGAGATTCTCTCTTTCTCCCTCTGCCCCTCCCCCCAAGCGCGCACGCACACACACACACACATTCTCTCTCTCTCTCTCTCTAAAATAAATAAATCTTAAAAAAAAAAAAAATAAGATACCACCACAAACCTACTGTAAAGCAAACAAAACAACCCCCCCAAAAACAAAAAACAAACAAACAAAACAAAAAAAACCCCACTAAAACAAAAAACTACAATACCAAGTGGTGGGAAGGATGTGGAGCAACAGGAACACTCATTCATTGCTGGTGGTAGTACAAAATAGTACAGCCACTGTGGAAGACAATTTGGCAGTTTCTTACAAAGCTAAAGATAGTCTTACCGTACGATCCAGCAGTTATACTCCTAGGTATCTGTCCACATGAGCTGAAAACTTATGTGCACACAAAAGCCTGTCCACACATGTTTATA